TTTGTTTGATTAACTTCACCTCCAGTTTTAACCAATTCATCATGTTCACAAAATCTTTCAAAAAATTTATTTTATCTTCCTCACACTTTATTACTTTAAATAATTTTGCGTCATCAGCGAAAAGGAACATACTATCACAAATGGAAAAAACGTTATTAATATAGATGAGAAATAGCAGAGGACTTAGAACACCACTCTGAGGGACTCCACTCAAGACAGGTCTTGGTTTCGATAAAGTTTTAACTTGACTTGAAACACCCTGCCCTGAAGATATTTATCAATCCACTTTACTATCTTATGATTCACACCATACTGTTCAAGCTTGAACAACAAACGACTATGGGATACTTTATCGAACGCCTTCTCGAGGTCCAAGTACGCCACACAAACCTCGTAACCACGATCTACTCCTTCAGTCAACACGTCCAAAAATTTCAAAAGATTCAAAACCGTTGAACGACCTGGAATGAAGCCAAATTGATTACTTGAAAACAAATTATTTTTCAGAAAATAATCCATAATGTGATCTTTTATTAATGACTCCAGAATCTTACAGCAAATTGATGTAAGCGCAATTGGAAGATAATTCTGAACTAAATCTTTGCGTCCTTTTTTGTGCAAGGGAACAACGTGACTAATTCTCCAATCATCAAGTACCACACTTTCATCCAATGAACGTTGAAAAATTCTGCACAAACCTTTAGAAACAAAATCTTTCATTTCCCATAAAATTCTGGAATGAATTTCATCCGGTCCCGCTGATTTGCTTGTCACTAGTTGTTTCAATTTAGAAAGAATCATATTTTCATCAATAGATAAATCGTCCATAGTCGGATAGAAATTTCCAATTATAGCACAAAATTGGCTCTCAAAATTTGAATCCAATTCATAAACGGAAGAGAAAAAACTTGCAAACGCTTCAACTTTTTCATCATCACAGGTAACGACCCTCCCATCAATTGACAGAGTACCAATAGCCTCATGACGCCTAGTGATTTTTTTACGTGATTCCAAAACAATTTTGGATTTCTGTTGAAATTTCTTGCAATAGATTCCTGATATTGATTTTTCAAGACACTGGCGAGTCTCTTTATCTCATTTCTGATTGAACGATATTTGTCCATTTTGTCTTCATCGTATCTGTAAATTGATCTCCAAATCAAATGCTTTTTTTAATAAGAGATTTTAGTTCTTCATTTATTTTAAAAATG